AGGTCAGAGAGGCCGTTTGGCACAACATTCCAGAGGGTTACCAACAAAATGAAGGTCTCTCCACTCTTCTCTCCACCAGACCCTCATGACCATATTGAAAACAATTATCCTTTTCTTTCCGCACTGGGAAATAAACAACACATCCCAAAGTGCGTGTGAAGTATCTATGTTGAGCCAATGTAAATACATACTACATATGTACCCGCCAGCCAGTTTAGGAGGAGAGCATACCCTTGTTCTATTGAGCTGGACTGTAAACTCTCAGGGCTCTATCCCACTGAGTACGTAATATGTGCTGGGCCCTTTGCAGGTGACGTTGCCATTAATCCTCTGAGTGACCTAACAAGGGGGTTTGAATGTTATCCCCATTTTATGGGTGAAGAAACTAAGGTCTGGAGGGGCTCAGCCATCCATCGTGGGCTCACGTGATGAGTGGCAGATGTGTGATGCGTGGGTTTTCAGAGGCCTGGGACTCTTGCTGGGTGGTGTCAGTAGGTTAATGATGTCTGGTGCAGCTGTGGTTTCGAGTTCCGGTATCCCACTCCAGACAGGGGCAAGGCTGGCCTTGGCTCCAGAGCACTAAGGTGGGTAAGTCCCCAGAATTGGGGAGGCCTTGGCATCAGTCCCCTTTGCCCAGGTGTCCTCTCTGCCCACCTTCATCTCCCACCCACCCCTGAGTTCATGGCAGGCTGGGGATTCCGGGAAGAAGGGCTTTGTTCCCAAGCCCAGAAAGGGTCACCCGGGGCCTGCTGCATGACCGTGTCTGCTTGCATCAGTGAGTGATGGATGAATGTGGTATTTCCAGAGAGGGGAGTTGAAGCAGGTGTGCAAAAGTCAGAATTGCCCTAACTGCAGTTTTTGGTGCTTGCCGTCTAACGTCCATCTTGGTGTCTGTGAGTCCCTTGTCCTCTGAGCCCGGCTCACATCCCACCGTCCCTGGGAAAAGCCCACCCGCAGCGGTCATCCCTATTCTCTCTGTCGTCTGGATGATGCAGGGCTCTGGGATCTCTAGCCTTTGCTGCCCTAGGCCTTGTTGGGGGTTCTGTCTGTGGAAGGGGCTCGGCCAACCTGCTGGATGCAGAAGGAAATGTGCTCCCAGCACGCTTACCTCTGCCAGGGGATAGGGATCTGGCAAAGCCCTGGTCAGCAGCCACTTCAGATCACATTTCTAGGTCACAGATGGGGCGGGGCTTCCTAGAGCAGGATTGGAAACATCCTTTCCTGTGGAGCTCGTGGGGGGGGGTGTGTAAGTGTCTTCTCCACATGTTTAGTTTGGATGTTTTAAAACAGTGGTGGGTTATTTCCAATAACTATTGAAAGGAGTAACTGGTCTCTGGGTGAATTTCTTAAAAAAAAAAAAAAAAGATTTTATTGGGGCACCTGGGTGGTTCAGTTGATTAAGCGTCTGCCTTTGGTTCCAGTAATGATCCCGGAGTCCAGGGATTCAGTCCCACCCACATAGGACTCCCTGCGCAGCAGGTAGCCTGCTTCTCCCTCTCCTCCCTGCTCCTGCCCTCTCTCACTATCTCTGTCTCGCTCTCTCCAATAAATAAAATCTTTAAAAAAAAAAAAAAGACTTTATTTATTTATTTGACAGAGAGTATAAGCGGGGGGAGCAGCAGGGAGAGGAAGAAGCAGGCTCCCCACTGAGCAGGGATCCTGATGTGGGACTCCATCCCAGGACCCTGGGATCATGACCTGAGGCAAAGGTAGATGCTTAACTGACTGAGCCACCCAGGCACCCCACTTAAATTTGCCAGTTTCTTAAATCTCTTTGTTTCTTAAATCTCTTTCTCTGGGCCAGTAAGGGTTCATTCATTAATTCCTTCATTTAAAAATTATTTACTGAGCACCTATTATGTGCCTGCCCAGTGCCGAGGATTAGAAAGGAGTTTCTAAACTTCTGGCAGTTGTTCTAGGATGTGTGGAATGTAAGATCGACCTGCACTCTGCCTGAATAGAATTGCATTGACCCAATACACCTTTTTCACATGCGTGTTACAGGATATGCTTCACATATGTGCTTCTGGACATGGACTGCATGAAAAGTGGAAGGGGTTCGGTTTCCAAACCCTTCGGGTGGTTGGATGGAGGTGGGGGGAAATAGTTTTTTTCCATTTCAACTCCCCTTATCATCTGCCATTAAGAAAATGGGGACATGTAACCTAGGAGAGAAAATACTGAGGCCAGGGCTCCTTTCAGACCCCGAAGTACCATCCTCATGCCTCGTTTGGTAGAATTTGTCCACGAAGCCGCCTGGTCCTGGACTTTGTTTGTTGGGAGTTTTTTTGGTTACTGATTCAATCTCCTTGCTGGTCATGGGTCTCTTCGAATGTTCGTTTCTTCCGGCTTCAGTTTTGGTCATGCCTCATTTGGCATGGAGTTAGACATGTGACTCCCAAAGAGATCCCCGGACAAGCAGCCTTCCCATCACCTGGGAACTCGCTAGAAACACGGGAGTCTCAGCCCTACCCCAGAACAAGAAATACCAGGGCTGGGGCCAGGAGTCTGTGTTCTGATGAGCCCCTTGGGTTTGAGGACCATGGCTCCACATTCGATTCAGTCTGGGGGGTGGGGGAGCTGTGATTCTGCATGGCCAGAAGCTCCCAGGGGATGCAGTGTGACTGTTGGCCCCAGGAGCAAAGGCGAGGACCCGGTTGTTACAAGGCAGTCAGTCTATCTCTGGCTTGTGAGAGATGGCATTTGGGTATAGCTGTCTGACAAAACACCACGGTGCTGTTGAAAAGGAATGAAACTGAGCTATAGGCACCAACATGGAGAAATCCTCCACAGCATTGTGAAGCTAAAAAAGTAGATTTTGAAAATATCTTTGGATAAGTTTGCTTCCATTAAAGCCAGGATAGTAAAATCATCATAAATTCCATTTTCGTGTTTTAAAAAAAAATATTGAAACATTTTTAAGTGTGAGTTTTAATTCAGCTACTTTTCAGTTGTGCAGTATGTTTTTTCAACAGCTAGAACTTTATGGGGGAAAGGAATAACCATTTAAAAAATACATGAAAACATCTACATAGAGTGCGTGTTTTTCCTTGTGCCTCAAGCTCGAGGATGGTGTTGTTGGGTCTTGTTCTTGTTTAAGATTTTTGATAACTCGTTCCTATGGATTTTTTTTTAATGTGTTTAAATTTTTGAAATATTATCTCACTGGATTGATGAGTTTTTGGCATGCCCTTAAATTCTGCATCAGAGGCTTTGGGGATTCCTATAAGGGATGGCTCTGCTGGCCTCTGGGCCCTAAGATGATCCCCGGTGGAGATGGCATGTGGGAACTCTCCATCTAGAAAGCAAGCCCCACTGATATTAGCCCAATTTGAAGGCCAGTGAGAGATCTGGTTTGGAAATACTTTCATAACTGTGGCAGATGCTACCCGTGTCCAGCCCACGCCCCTGGCTCCTGCCATTTCTGGGCACACCCATCCCTGTTGCAACTGCCCACACCTGCTACTCTGTCTGAGAGCGTTCTTGCTGGCACCAGACAGGGAGGGAGAATCGGCACCCCCCAGGGACAGCCCCTGACAGCTGCTGGAGGGGGTGGGGGTGGGGGTGGGGGGCGGTGGGGGGTGGAGACCATAGCTGTGAGGGGTGAGATGACTCAGAGGTGAGTGTTCTACCTTGTCCCTTCACCTTGTCCAGTGGAACTGGACTCTGGTCGCTCACAGCAGTGACTGCCTTGCTGTCCCCACCTTGTAGGGCTTCTTCCTCTCGCCGCCCCACTTCTTTCTTCACTCACGGACTGGAATCTTTTTTACAGGGTCTGTTTCCAGGAAAACCACAAGTAAAATAAAAACAAGGTTTACTTTGCCCACTATAAAATCAAAACATTGAGGTATACAAGTGGGAAAACCAAAAACCTTTCCTCCCAAAGCCAGGTGGTGTTTCTTTGCTAAGTTGGCATCTCTTTTTATCTTTGCTCATGTGGATGTTGGGAACCCTTGGGAATCGTTTTCCTCATGTTGAGTCGCTGGTCAGGCTGATTTTTTTTCCCGGCCCTCAGCTCCTGGCGACCATTTATCCAAACTCTGTTCCTATGGGTTTGACTTTTATACACACACAAGTGGTACCACGCAGTACTGGCCTTTCTCTCTTTGGTTTATTTCACATAATGCCCTCACGGTTCATCCACGATATTGCAAATAGCAGGAGTTCCTTCTTTCTCGTGGCTGAATAATACTGCCTTGTATAAATATGCCACATCTTTTTTATTCATGCATTCGCTGATGGACACTTATGTTATATGGATGTCTTGGCTGTTGTTAAAAATGCTGCAGTGGGGGCACCTGGGTGGCTCAGTGGGTTAAGCCTCTGCCTTCGGCTCAGGTCATGATCCCGGGGTCTTGGGATAGAGCCCCGCATCGGGCTCTCTGCTCAGCGGGGAGCCTGCTTCCCCCTCCCTCTGCCTGCCTCTCTGCCTGCTTGTGATCTCTCTCTGTCAAATAAATAAATAAAAATCTTAAAAAAAAAATAATGCTGCAGTGAATGTGGATGTCCCGATGTGTCTTTGAGATCCTCTTTTCATTTCCTTTGGAAATAGATCCTAGATGAGAGATTTCTGGGTCACATGGTAGTGCTAATTTTTGTTTTTTGGGGAAACCTCCATACTGGTTTCCATAATGGCTGTATCAGTTTACATTTGCACCAGCAGTGCACAAGGGCTCCCTTTTCTCCACATCCTCAAGGACCCTTGCTATCTCTTGTCTTTGATGATAATCATCCTAACAGGTGGGAGGTGATATTTCATTGCAGCCGTGATTCATGTTCTCCTGACGACCAACTGCGTGGAGCACTTTGTCACGTACCTGTTGGCTCTTTGCGTGCCTTCTTTGGAAAAAGATCTGTTCGGTTCCTCTGCCCGGTTTTGAATCAGGAGGTTTGGTTTTCTGCTGTTGGGTTGTGCACGATGTTTTTAAATGGCTTCATGGTTGGGAGGCTCTGGCGTGACTGTGACCCACTGGTGATATGTCTGCCCATCGACCTTGCAGGCATTCGCCCCTACAAATGTGACATCTGCAACAAGGCCTTCACCCAGCGCTGCTCCTTGGAGTCCCACCTGAAGAAGATCCACGGGGTGCAGCAGCAGTATGCCTACAAGCAACGCCGGGACAAGCTCTACGTCTGCGAGGATTGTGGCTACACGGGCCCCACCCAGGAGGACCTGTACCTGCACGTGAACAGTGCCCACCCAGGCAGCGCCTTTCTCAAAAAGACGTCCAAAAAACTAGCGGCTCTTTTGCAAACCAAGCTGATGTCCATGCGCCCAGGGAATGCCAACCTGAGCGAGGAGGAGGAGAAGTGAGGAGGAGGAGGCAGCCAGAGCTGCCGCGTTTACAGGGATTTGGGGTCTTGAAGGTTTCCCCAACCCCACTTGGGTTCAGTTCATCCCTCTTGCCCTTCCGGGGCTGGAGGCAGAGCTGGGGGATCTGTTCTAAGGGTCATCAGTGAGAATCGTGGTGTCAGGCCCCCTGTAACCCACATCCTGTTGACAGTCACATTAACAAAAGTTTTTGGATGGTCACGATCACTGTAAGGCATTTTTCTTTCTTTCTCTCTCCTTTTTTTTTTTTTTTTTTAAGGATTTTCACATGTGGAGGCCGAGGTGTTCTTAGAGAGACTCTCATTTTATGGTGCCTTGAAATAAAAGTACTTCCACTTGCCATGCTCCTCAAGCAAGGAAAATGATTTTATTATTCCAAAAGAGTTTACAGGAATTATTTTAATAAATGAAATGTTCTTGTGAAATTATAAAACAAAACAGAGCATTGAGTTCTAGCTCCCTGATTAGGGCCTAATGTGTGACCTTCGATTTCAGGTGGTTTGGGGCGAATGAATTTGTATTGGCAGGTGGGTTTGAAGAAGCAGATCTTGAGACGGGGTAGGAGGGCCAATGGACAGGTGCCCCAAGGCAGGTGGGCAGAGAGGCCTGCAGTGGACGGGGAAGGTCACTCCTGAATGCTTTCGTCACTTTTCGTGGCCCTCGGTTACTGTAGAGCTGCTTCTGGCTTTCTGGGGCTGGGACTTGACTCGCTGGCTACAGGTGCAGGCTGTGCTCTTGTGGGAGGGAGAGCAGTCTCCTTCAGGGCATGTGACTGCTGAGCACTGTGACCTTTGGCCACCTGGATCGCCTCACCTGGGAGGCCTGGCTCCAGGGGCCCAGGACGTTCACAGTAAAGCAGACCTGAAACCGAGATAGGGCAAAGGAGAGGCAGCAGCCTCTGGGGATGAGAGGGGTGGTGAGGTGGTTTCCAGGGTCCTTCGGTGACTGGAGGGGTAGCAGGAAGGGCCCAAACCCTCAGGGAACCCTGGTGGCTGAGAAAGGGATTTTCCCCAGTCCAGGGAGCTGTGGGAACTGATCGGAGTGCCCATCTCCTGTACCCCGCAGTCCTTCGGCGGGCTTCCTCCGTTGCCCTGGGTCTGACAGCCCCAGCTTCATTTCCTCCCCGGAAGAGGAAGAAGATCTTGCATCAGGACCAGGCTGCTTCTTGGGCTGGGGAACATTTGGGTGATGGCCCTTCTTTGTCTCCTTTCCTCTCCCTCCTCCTTCCACCTCTCTGCCTGCTTCACTCCCTCCCCCAATGTCCTCCTTTCCCACATCGTGGGCCAGGCATCATGCCAAGATCTGGACAATTTCCGTGGCGTGGCCTCTAACTTGAGTTAACATTAGTCTTGAGAGTTGGCTCCCCTTTCTGAAGGGAGGGAATAAACCCTTCTGTGGAGCATCTATGATGTGGGGCACCCCTGGCTGTGCAGCGTTCTCTGGAACAATCCTCAGAGCTCTCCTGAAGGGGTCAGCGTCCCAGTGCCCAGGAGCAGATGAGGCAGCTTCAGGGGCCATCGGCTGGTGGTGGGAGGAAAGGGCCAGGAATCCTAAACCCGGTCAAAATCCCACTTTCCCTCTCCCCACACTTAAGAAATGAAAGAACCACTTCCCCCGCCCCCCACCAAGTTCAATTGGAACTAAAGGAGAGGCAGGCATGAGGCTAGGGCAGGCTTTGGGAGATCCTCACACCTCTGGTTTCTCTAAACGGCGACACTCAGTGTCCCAGAGCCATACTGCTGGGTTGATGTGGTCCTGCTCGGCCTCGCACGAAGACCTGAGAGCTGAGACCACAGCACCATGTGGTCTACATGTCCACGTCCAAGTGTTCATACTGGGGATGCATTTGGGACCTGGAACAGCAAAGTAGGAAGTTGTGAAGGCTCTTATGGCCTCCTAGGATGGCAGCACTGAGGGCTCCGCCCTGGGGGCAGGGGGCCAATTGTTGACATCCTGTCGTGTCTCCTAGCACTTGGTATAGGGAAGGGAGTCTAGAAAGTGTTTGATTTGCTTTCCACAGTTATCTGGGTAATTCTGACAACAATAATGATAAGGCAATATCTAAACGACTGTCTGGGGCAGCTGGCCTGTGTCCTGTTTTGCACAGGGAACTGTGAACCAGCTGAAAAGATATTCTCTTTAGGGATGGATTTTTATTTATTTACATATTTTAAATTTGTTTTTTAAAAGTAAGCTCTATGCCCAACATGGGGCTTGATCTCATGACCCTGAGATCAAGAGCTGTATGCTCTCCTAATTGAGCCAGCGAGGCGCCCTGGGACTGATTTTTATTAAACCAAACTCTTTTGGTTGCTAGTGACAGAAACTCAGTTTATTTATTTATTTATTTTTAAAGATTTTAATTATTTATTTGACAGACAAAGATCACAAGTAGGCAGAGAAGCAGGCAGAAAGAGAGGAGGAAGCAGGCTCCCTGCTGAGCAGAGAGCCCGATGCGGGGCTCGATCCCAGGACACTGGGATCCTGACCTGAGCCGAAGGCAGAGGCTTTAACCCACTGAGCCACCCAGGTGCCCCCAGAAACTCAGTTTAAAATGACTTTAACAGGAGCGCCTGGCTTGCTCCATTGGTGGAACATGCAACTCTTGACATCAGGATTGTGAGTTTGAGGCCCACATCGGGTGTAGAGATTACTTAAAAATAGAATCTTTTTTTTTTTTAAGATTTTATTTATTTATTTGAAACAGAGAGAGAGAGATCACAAGTATGCAGAGAGGCAGGCATAGAGAGAGAGAGGAGAAAGCAGGCTCCCCGCTGAGCGGAGAGCCTGATGCGGGCCTCGATCCCAGGACCCTGAGATCATGACCTGAGCCGAAGGCAGAGGCTTTAACCCACTGAGCCACCCAGGCGCCCAAAAATAGAATCTTTAAAAAAAAAATAAAATGGCTTTAACAGAAAAGAGAATGTATTGGCTGACAAATATAGGGTTGTTTCAGCTTCAGGGATGGCTGGATCTAGGTGCTTAAATCATGGTATCACTCATCTTTCTCTCTGTCTTATATCTGGTTTTCCCACAGGTGACTTCTTTCTCAGGCAGGTTCAGGTGGGGGCCTCATGGCCACCACTGCTAGACTCCTGTCCCATAGTACAGCAGCTCAGCAGAAAAAGGGTCTGATTTTAGGCTGATGTTTCTTGTCTCTGAGTGGCCCGATTTGGCTCTTGGGTCTATCCCTGATCCTGTCACTGTGCTGCAAGATAAGGGGCTTTGTTGGCCCAGGCCTGAGCCATGTGCTCCTGCCTCCCCTGAAGCCAGGGTGGTGTGAACAGGTCACTGGCCTGGGAGTAGGAAAGTGGTTCCCCAGCAGAAAAGTAGGTGCCATGACCAGAGAGGAAATGGGTGTTGGGCAGGTTTCCTGGTTAGGACAAGGCACAGCTGCTCTAACAAAATTCCCTCCAAATTCTATGGGTTAAAGAAGAGAGAAGATAATTTCTTGCCAGCAGTTCTGGGTTGGTGGTGGCTGTCCTTATGCCATCACTCAGAGACCTGGACTACTTCTTTTTTTTTTTCTTAAAGACTTATTTATTGGGGCGCCTGGGCAGCTCAGTCAGTTAACCGTCTGCCTTCAGCTCAGATCATGATCCCAGCGTCCTGAGAGTCCTGCATTGGGCTCCTCCCTCTCCCTCTGCCCCTGCCCCTACTTGTGCTTGCACACTCTCTCTCTGTCTCCCAAATAAATAAATAAAATCTTTTTATTTTTATTTAAAGATTATTTATTTATTTATTTATTTGACAGAGAGAGAGAGAGAGAGAGAGAGAGAGAAAGAGATCACAAGCAGGCAGAGAGGCAGGTAGAGAGAAAGGCGGCGGGGGTGGGGGGGGGAGGGGAGCAGGCCCCCAGCTGAGCAGAGAGCCGGATGCAGGGCTCCATCCCAGGACCCTGAGATCATGACCTGAGCCGAAGGCAGAGGCCTAACCCACTGAGCCACCCAGGTGCCCCAAATAAAATCTTTTTAAAAAGCTTTATTTACTGGGGCGCCTGGGTGGCTCAGTGGGTTAAAGCCTTTGCCTTCGGCTCAGGTCATGGTCCCAGGGTCCTTAGATCAAGCCCCGCATCGGGCTCTCTGCTCAGCAGGGATCCTGCTTCCACCTCCTTCTCTCTCTCTGCCTGCCTCTCTGCCTACTTGTGATCTCTGCCTGTCAAATGAATAAATAAAATCTTAAAAAAAAAAAAAAGCTTTATTTATTTACTTATTTCAGAGAGAGAAAGAGCAAGCTGGAGGGGGATGCAAAGGCAGAAGGAGAGAATCTCAAGTGGACTCCAGGCTCAGTGCAGAGACCGATGTGGGGCTCAGTCCCATGACATCTCAGTCCCATGAGATCACAACCCAAGCAGAAATCAAGAGGCAGATGCTCAACCAACTGAACCCACCAGGTCCCTGAAAGACCTGGACTTACTTCCTTTGTTGCTCTACCATGCCCTAGGACACTTCTAACATACGCATGGTTGAAACTGGGTCTGTGTGGATTTCGGCTGGTAGGAGAATTACCTTGCTCTGGGTTTCTCCACAGGTTCTGAGGCAAGGGTTCAAGCTGAAGTCAGGAACCATCTATAGTGGGAGTGGGGAAATGTGGTAGGAGAGAGCACACAGCCAATAAAGGGAATATAATCAAGGAAGTTCCTACTGTGGCAACTGAAGCTTGATCCTAGTGGGGATTTCTAGCAAATAGTATAGATGTGCCTCATTGTAACCCCCCTTGAGAGGGTAGGAAACCATTTGTCCACGAACTCCCCATCCCTGGGGATTTAGTTGAGGGTGCTGGCACTGGGGGCCTTCCAAATTGCCCTAGTCAAGCATGCTTCCTGTGCCGGGAAAAGCTCTCAGGCAGAGTTAAGGAGTTGGCCAAGGGCTGAGACCTGAGCAGGGTGGTGCGGGGTCCGGTACTGATGTGGAAGGGTCACACCCACTATCTGAAGCTGCCGGCCTGGACACTGCACACAGCCCTTCCACTCCCATTCCAGGGTGAGGATTTTGCCAGATTACTGCAGAGGCAGGAAAATGCAGCCTTCTCAGTCATAACACTCTTGTATGCCTGGACCAAGGAACGGATCGTGGCGGACATCTCGAAGTCTCTGCTACAGCAGGCAAAGCCAGCTGACATTCACCTAGGCCTTTGGCCCTCTCCTCCCAACCCTGTTTGCCTGTCCTCTCTCAGCCAATTGTCAGAATTCAGCGAAAGTGTCTGGGATCATGATTTCAGGGGAACTAGTTCTCAGGCTGGGGGTCTTGGGACCTTAGGTTCATGGGTGGTGGGCATAGAAATGAATGCATGCATGAGTTATTGTCAATATTTTTTATCCCTCATTGGAAACCATGTATGAACTTGTACAAA